ACCATAAAAAACACGTGTCATTATCATAGTGATATCTTCATGTTGTCACCACCTAATCCTCAATCACTTAAGGATCAAATCAAAGCATACAAGCAACAAAACAAAAGCCCAACATGCCATGATATTCATGATATTCAACATATAACAAACGGCAATCTTCATGATATTCAACATATAACAAAAGACATAACAAAACACAATGATGGGATTAGAGAAGAAACCCCACCCGTTCGGCATAAATATGACCATCGATGGGATTAGAAAAGAAACCACACCCATTCATCATAACATATAACAAATGCAAACAAAATAATATAAGAAAAAACAATTTCAAATCGCATCGATTAGAGATTGTTTATAACTCATCTTTGCAATGGGAGAAAGAATGATTTCAAGTGAATCTGGCCAGAGAAAAGGTGAGTTTAAAATAGACCACACAATACAAAACCAGGTACGGTTATGAGACAACATACCTATTGACACGTTTCTAGCCAAAAATGTCGTCGATGCGTTCTACCATTCGCTTGCCATCCAGTTGGAGCCAAGGGAATTCCTCCTTCTGAGATTTGTAGTGGAAAGTTAGAGGAGTTCACTGTCGACGAAAATGTTTGGTAGGGCTTCTTTCTATCAATTAGTGTGAAATATCCATAATACCCCTTCTCTCACATGGGAGTCGTTAACACGTGTTCGTTAATAGGGGTTAACGTTGTGGGAACTTCACATTCCCTGGGAACGTGTTCTTTGGGAGCGTCGATTTTTTACTCCCAAAGAACGCATTCTTTAGGTGTTGTTCTCACACGAAAATACCTTTTTTTTTCTTGTACCAAACGCATTTATGCTTCGTGAGAATACTGGGAATGCACAAAATGTTCTCACGGAATGTTGTCAAACAGGGCCTTAGTTGATGAAGGTAATATTCTCACCTTTATATCATGATGGATGTTTGATCTAAGGCCAAAACACTAGGAAGGTGAAAGGAAAGGGATGCAAGTTGAGCCATCTATTTGTGTTGGAGTTTGAGAAGTCTCAAACATCAACATCCCCAGCTTATTTTAGTTTCTCCACTTTAATTCCTTTTTAAGTCACAAAAATAATGTTTGGGACTTATGGCATAAATGCTTGGGTCATATACATGCTAAGAAATTAACATTTTAGTTGATTCTTTCATTATAAACCTTTGATACATCTTTGTGTTTCCTATTTTACAAGTTTTATGACTATCGAATCTTCATTATTGAACTTTGCTTTGTGCTATTAGATTGAACCATCTTCATTAGATTTTGTTTTGTAATTCCATTTCAGTCCAATTACTTCTTTTTCTTTAGGTTTAAAAACCAACTCCCATATCTTGTTATTCTTAATAATTTCAATTTCTTTATCCATTTTTTACACCCAAACTTCTTCTTTTGAAGCTTCTTCAAAATTTTGTAGTTCAAGTGCATGAAATGCAACATTACATGAATCAATGATTTTTTGGAGTGAATTTATCTTTCTTGGTGGAGTATCTAAATCTACATCACTTGGGAATATTAGATTGAAACTTATTGAGCCTTATCTTCTTGTATTTGTTGGCCTTACATTTGATGTAGTTGTGTCATGCCCACGATCATTAGACATCACTTCTTTTTCATTTTCTATAAAATATTTCTTTGTTTATGAGGAATTTCCTTCAAAGTTTCATCTTCATTAAATATCACATCTCTTGAATTTACCAACTCATTTGTATTTGGATTCAATAACTATAGTAGCCTTTGGATTCATAACTTTAGTCAAATAAAATACATTTCTCACCTTTTCCATCAAATTTTTCTCTATTTTGTGAAGAAATGTAATCAGAAGCAATACATCCAAACACTTTGAATGAGCTAACAATAGGCTTTTTTATGTGTTGCTTCAAAAAGTGTTTTGTTTTACACTGCTTGTTCTTCATAAGACTTCCCAAATTCTCTCTATGTGAACTCTTTTCCTTTTTCGGTGCTTAAAATTTTTAAATTTTGGTCATTTTTCTTCTTAAAAAATGCTTTAAATTGAATAAAAGTAGGTCACATGCTTATGATTTTGCATCTAAAAAATACACTTACATCATTCCAGTATAATCATCAAGGAAAAAGAAGTTCCTCTTGTTGTTGGAGGAAAGTGTCCTCRTAGGACCAAAAGTATCAACATAAACCAACTCTAATGGTGCCTTTATATTCCATGATTGCTCTAAAAATGATAGCTTATGATGCTTCTAATAGACACAACCTTCACATATTTTATGTTTTCTATCAATTTGAGAAATTTCAATCATTGTATTCTTGTTATTTAACATTGAAAGACTTCTAAAATTCAAGTGTTTATATCTCAGGTGCCATAACATGGATTTATCCATCTTCTTACTTTTCATCCCATGGTTCATATCATAGGACATGATTAATGAAAATACTTTGTTTCCGTTTTTACTCTAACAATGATTTGACCTTTCTACTTATTAGTTATTATACATTTACCATTACCAAATTGTACCTAATAACCTTTTTCTATAAGTTGTCCAACACTAAACAAATATGAGTCAAACAAGGAACATTCAAAACATCATAAATGAGTTTAAAATTACCTTGCTTAGTATAGACTACAACAACACCCTTTCCTTCAATATTTTGGAGCTTACCATCTCTAAGATTCACTTGAAAATTAACATGTCCATTCAACTCTAGATAACATTCTTTATTTCTTGTCATGTGGTTACTACAACCACTATCCAAATAACAAACTTCTTTTGACTCTTGTTGAGAATTCATACAAGTAGAGCTGTTCACGGGTCAGGTTGGGTCGGTTTACTACGGTTTTTCCAACCGACCCGACTTGGTCGGGTTACCTGACATAGAAACCGAAATCGACCCAGTGTTAAGCAAAACCGACTTGGTTGGTTTGAGTCGGGTTGGGTCGGTTTGGGTCAGTTTTGGTTCTAAGTTTATCCCTTATGATAAAATCTTGCTAATTTTAAAAACAGTCATAAATTGAACATCATTTCAGCCATCTCCAATGATAAAATTTAAATGAAAAGTTAATCAAAAAAGTTGTTCATTAATCACTATTCAATAATCCAAAGTTTCTTGCAACCATTCAAAAACTAGGTGGCCTAATGGGCTTTGGAGCTTCATGTTTGAACTAGGAACTAAGTCGGTTTGGTTCGGGTCRGTTTTGATTTTCTTGTATGAAAACCGAAACCGATCCGAATCATCAGTTTAGGAATTTGCACAACCCRAAACCGACCCGTGCTGATGAAAACCCGGCCGACTCGGGTTGGGTCGGTCCGGGTTGGTCGGTTTGGTCGGGTTGGGCCTTCTTATGAACAGCCCTACATACAAGAGTAAAATAAATTATTTTTTAGATCATCCTTTTCTATATAGTTGGACATGTTCTTTTTCCTTAAACCTGCAATCTTTTAGGGCATGAACATGATTTTTGCATTTTTTTACATCTAAATTAACAATCTTAAGGAAAATGGTTGTCCTTCTTGCAAATAAAACAATCATTATATTATTTTGCTTTTCACCTCTTCCATTATTTTGGTATCTTCTTCCTCTACCACAATATGACCCTTCTTTTGAAGTTTCTTTTTCACCATTATTCTTTTTATTTCTTGTAATAATGAGTTTGGACTGAAAATCTTACTCCATTGATAGTTTAGTCAAATCTTTAGATTCTTCAATGGCATCCACCACATGATTAAATTTAACCAGTAAACTCCTCAAAGTCTTTTTTACAACTTTTATATGAGATAACATCTCTATATGTTCTAATTTGATTTACAATACCAACAACTCTAGAAAAAAAGAACTTTAAACAAATTCATTTTTCTTCATCGTAAGATTATCAAAATCTCTCCAGAGAGTTTGAAGTTTTATGGATACCTTTTTAGTGCCCCGAAATTCCTTCTTGAGAATATCCCATGCTTCCTTTGAACTTTTGACAACCATGATTTTTGGAAATATTGTTTTGTTTACTGCTTATTGAATATGGTACAGGGCTCTAGCATCACCCTTCCCATTTTCTTTGTACTCTGTTTACAATCATGTTGCAAATTTCTCACGGTTTTGTAGTTCTTTGTACCCTTCTTCTACTAACTCCCAAATATCTTTGGAGATAAAAAAATAAAAAATAAAAAGAATCATTTGTATCCTCCAATAATCATAGTTTTCTCCATCAAAGTTAAAAAGTATAAATTTTTGGAAAGAATCTAAAATAGAGTTTGCTGAAACTTGATTTCATGAAGGATTTTAGTTTTAGATCGGAATAGTTAGTTGGATCCTTTTCGCTCTAATACCAAAAGTTGGTTGGAGCAATGGGGTGGAAAATAATCAAAGAGAAAACAAAATCTTGTGGTTCTAGGTTTTACTTTGCTCTTTATTGTTCTATGTCTCTAATGCTTCAGATGCAAAAGTGAACTTACTTTTACAAGTCTAAAACATTCACCTATAAGCCAAGCCACATAAATCTCTATGTTTTTTCTCGGGTTTTATTCATTTATCCTTGCTTTTTTGACAATTTTGAGCCTAACAAACTTGATTCCTAGGATTTTGGTTTTGTGATTCATTGTTTGGGAGTTGTGATTCTAGTATTTCAAATGGGACTCTGTGATTCGATCCACTTCCTCTATGGGAATCGCATGAAGATCCGCACTCCTAACTGAGAATCAAACTACAATTTAAAACTTCATTTTGATAATAATATAGCTATAATAAAACTGAAACTAAAATATTAAACTGTTGATATATTGATACATTAATGAAATTCACTCTTTTAAATATAAAATATAACAAAAGAAGACAAGAGACCTTTATGTATATTAACTATATAATCTATTTAGGTCTGAATCGACGGGTTGAAACAGCAAAAACGATCCAACCCAATTATTAATTGGGACAAAAGCACAGATTCAGTTATATATACATAATTGGATCAAACGTTATTTTATTTTTTTTTTTTTTTGGNGGGGGTAGTATAATATAGAGAAGGTGAGCTCGTCAATGGCAAATAAATAAATAAATAAATGTTTTGGACATTCATTTACATAAAATCTTACACAACTACTTCGAACCATATCCAAGTGTACTTTTACACTTTAGTTGGTGTAAGCCTGTCTAACCTACATTGATCCCTGCACCGTTCGAGGGCYTCTTCCAACTCTTCTATCCTTTTGTCCTTGCCAGAAATGGTTTCCTGGAGACGTCGGTTTTCATCACGGAGCACCTGGAATTGACTCACTATCTCCTCAATCTGTGCCTCAATGGCCTCATCGCTGAGCTCTAAGGCACTCTCCACCACCTTGACCACGCGCCACAGGCTCACCACCACAATCAACCCTGCTCCTTTGCCTTTCAGAAATGCTTCCAAAAGCAAGGCTCCTATTACAACAAAGCCATCGACGACGTGACCCGGGTGCCGGAAGAACGATCTACCTAGTGCCAGCACCAGAGCCAATGTCTTGGCCAATAAAACGCTCAAGATGGCAATTCCTCCCCAGTGATACAGTTCATTTTCTGCCTTGGTCTCTTTGGAGGTGCAGGAGACGAGAGAAGAAGAGAGGTCAATTATAGAAATGACGAGATCAAACAGAAGAAGCGAGATAGCAAGAACACGAATTGGCATTGATTCCAGAAATTTGAACAAGTGGGTTCTCCATGCAGCTCTTGTCCTGGCATTTTCTTGTTGATCCTTCTGCTTCCATCTTTTCCTTCTAAGCCAGCTTTTCTGGAGAGACTGAATTGAAGATTCAATGGTGTCAATGGAGACTGCATTCCTGGATTGTTCTTGCAGGACCTGAGGGGCGGAATCCATTGAAGATTTGAAAGCAAGGGAGTAGAGTTTTGGATCTTGAGAAGAATTCGAGAATAAGATGAGTAGATATGACTTGGCTTAATATCTATCATACGGAAACGACTATATATCAATTTGTAACGGTGAAGCAAAGACAAGTGAAATGCAAGTACACATGGTCCAACCTTTCATACTTGGGCGTGACGTTAGATTTAGGCTTAGCACCATTTATCCACCCTTTTGTTGAGTTGGGTTTTGCTTAGGCGTCACGTTGACTTAAGTGGCGTTGGACATGTAACTGCTCAAATAGAAGATGAGAAAGCAAAGGCTGAGATGAAAACGAGGCATTCAACATTTCAGCAACTAGAAACCTACATGATTGTTGAATTATTAGTTTGTCCCACAGTTTTGTCATATACCAGCTAAACACCTATATAAAATCTCAGAAATTTTTAGTTTGAAGATCTTTTCTGCTTGGATTTTTCTGCACTTATTATCGGTTTATCACCAGTACTATTGAAGGTGGGTCACATGACTCACGTATAGAAGATATCCCATGGACAGCCTCTGATCTTTTCTTATTAGAGGTATAAATCGGGCCGTGCTGCCCACGGCCTGAACTGACTTTGGACCAGGACGGCACGATCGAGCAGGCCATGCCACCCACGGCCTGCATGCCAGCACGGCCCGACATGGCCCAACACATCCCACGTATTATATATATATATATATATATATATATATATATAGCAGAAATAGACGCCTGCTACCAGGAAAACATAATAGCAGAGAACAAACACAACTCCGAAATACATTACAGGTTGAAGGCGAACAAATTAATAAAAGTAAAAAATACAACCGCTAAAAAAGGATATGGCTTCCAGGCAGCTGAGCCTGACGCATCCCAAACAAGACTGGCTTCCCACCCAACACCACCAGGAATAATAATAAATCTTCCAAAGCATAGAATAGAGTTGAACGTGGTGTTCGAGAGGGTAGCTATGCTCTTCCAATAAATACARGCGATCAAAGGACCTTCCCTTGCTGAAACCATCCAATTAAGGATGGAATCCATGGCACCTGAGAGGTGGCTATTCTGCTCCTACTCTATAAGATTAGTCCACCCAATTGTAGATGTAGTCTTCAAGATACTGTTTATGCAACATATGCATAAAATTGGTACTTGCCGACTGCCATTTTGAATCTGTTGCAGCACTGCAGAGTGAGTTAAAGCACCCTTTCAACAGCTGTTACAGATAAATTAAAAGGCAGGTGGCCCATAACGTCAGATACAAAATCAGCTGCAAGTAGTTACAAAAAGGGTGATGGAAACCAAGTCTCACAAAACAAACCTTCCTTACAGAGTAAAGAGACCTTTTTGAGTTCAGACTTGAACAAAAGAAAGCTTGTTGAAGAATCCTTTTCTAAGTTTACATTTGTACATAGAAAGCTTCTCTAGTAGGAACTCCAACGGTAGTAGAAAGTTTATACATGTGCAGCATACATGGAACCTGCATCTCATTTCACCCAACTAGCTTTCCTGATGGGACTTGTCTGTAGCTTGTCATTTCACCCAACTAGCTTTTTCCAAAGTAAGAAAAAAGTGTTGCTTGTTTATCACCTGTATTATTAAGAATTTCCTTCTTTTTCCTGATGGGACTTGTCTGTAGCTTGTCAATATTGCCAATAGCTGGCATTGAATTGCCTGCAAACTCTTGATAATATCGTTTTATTCCACATTTCTCAGCTTCTCCTTTAGGTAGGGAAGAAACATTAGATTTGGGACCAGTATCCATGTTGGAGTCAGAAGGAAGTTCAGTTTTTTCCTCAAATGGAGGTTTTACTTCAAATTCTTCAAGTGGCCTTGTCTGGGCAGACTCTTCGGATGAAACTTTGACTTGTGAGTCCAACTTTTGTTCATCATCACCTTTCTTCTTTGAGAAGAACTTTGAGATTGAGGACTTCTCTTCAGACTTTAGTTGTATCTGTAGAAGAATCCTGAAATATTAGCTTTCAACAAAATTTCAGGCTGACTCAAGGCCCCAAGGAGGAACCCATAAACCAAGGAGTAATGCATTTCATCCCTCCCACAAATCCCCTAGATCAAAATTTTGACTGGATGATTATAGACATCTAGTATGAAATCACATCCTATATATTTCCAGGCAATTCCATACATAAATTCTGGCAAAAGACAGCGAGGCCCCAATTAAATAGTGGATTCTGAAGCCTGCATGTTTTCCATGATTTTGGTCCAGGCATCTCTTGTCTATTAAAGTGATTACCCCTAAGTTTTAGGAAATTGACTTTTTCACCCTACTATTTTGAAATTGCCTTAAAGTACCTCAAGTTTTATGACAATTGACTATTTCCTCTATCGTTAATGTCCTAAACGGAAAGATGGAAAAGACTATTTTATCCCTCATTCTTCTTTAAATTTTCAAAATGAAACATGTTTGCAATCTCCCACTACAGTACTCATTTGCTGAAAAAAAAAAAAAAAGAAACCTGTGAGAAAGATGGCTTTAGCAACATGGTTCTCAAGGCCTTTGTGAAATTCTTCCAAAGACACAACATCATACACTTGAACGATCAGAAACTGGTTATTATGTCAATATTGTGTTGGGGGTTCCTGAATGGACTCTATCTGCATATTCCAATATTGAGAATTGAGTTGGGGTGCACTGTACGGCTTTAGGTTATGATTATGACAATGTCTTTAACTCACAGTATACTGGGGAAGAGAAGTGACTTCCATATCTCAATTTTATCTATCTGAACTATACCTGAATGAAAGCCTAAACATGACACAAGGGGGATACACAACATTTTTGCTTCTGTATCTGAAACCGAACCTTCTGCTGTAATAGGAGAACCAAGAATGTCATGGCTAATGGTGGTGGATGTGGATCATCAATGGCTACTGCAATAATCGGGGAGCGCCACGAGTTTTCGTAGGAGGAATGGAGGATGCAAGTCTTTCATCATTTGTTGGCAATCTGTAGAAGCCGTTGTGTACCAAACACAATCATTAGATAACTGATGGCCGCATTACTGTCAACCTTATTTCCATGAGAATACTATGATTTGATTTGAGCATTTACCTTTTGAACAACTTGACGACACAAGCTATGGCCCATGGTGTTCGTTTGATAGCTACCCAGTGGCAGTGAACGTAGCCAAAGGGGTTGGAAAATTGCTACTATGGGTGCAGACTCTAGACTGACTATAGGGTGATACCTAATTCTGATTCAACATGAGCACCTGCGTATTGGGATTCAACAGAACCCCAACTCAATTTTCAATAGTGGGAGATAAAGAGATTTGAAGGAGGCCATTGCTACATTCAGGAACCAAGGACCAATCTTTGTGTCACTGTAGGGGTTTCTGTTCTCCATTAAGTGACTCTTTTTGGGTAAGGACAAATGAACGCGGTCTTCTGTTTCAGTCGCAGAAACATGCCTTTGGCCTTCGAGTAAAGGTTGAAGGTTGTGTTTTTGTCTGCAATGTGGATGTTAATTTTTATCTTTAATATTTAAATAATAATGGAGGACAAACTTGATCACAAAGTGGTGGTATTGGGTTTCAAAAAAATTCTATACATCATGTGGTGTGTGTCACATTTGAATGAATTGTGACAGACATTAACAGTAGGAGAGTATTTAGTCAATTGTCAGAAAACTTGGGGGTACTTTTAAGGAAATTTCAAAACAGTAGGGATGAGTAAGTCAATTTCCTAAAACTTAGGGGTACTTTAAGAAATTTGCCCATTTTTTATCAATAACGTAACTAAAGTGACTCATTATTAGGTGTAAATCGGGCCGTGGCACCCGTGGCCCGACACGAACTTGGACCGGCCCAGCACAACGGTCCGCGGGCCGTGACAGGCCTGGCACGACCATGCAGGCCGTACTAGGCCTGGGATTTTTGGTCCACGAGCCGGCACGGCACGACCATGGCCACGGGCGGCCCAGCACAGTCCATATATATATTTTATATATATTTATATATTTTTATATTTTTATATATATTTATATTTATTTTATATATAGTTATGTAATATTATATAAATTATAATTATATAATAATATATAGTATAAAATATATTAATAAAATAAATATTTTTTATTTTATTATACTAATTTATTTAATTATTGCATATATAAGCAATTTTATACACAAAATTCATATAAAATTAAAATTTTAAGTTTTTTGTCAATTTTTTTAAATAAATAGCTTTGGCCTGACGCACGGCCCAACCTGGCCCAAGGCTCGGCCTGCGGAACGACACAGGCCCGCACGGGCCCAGGCTGTGGGCCGTGTCGGGCCGACCCCCAAATTTTTCACCRGGGAGGGCGGCACGGCCCGTGATGGCCCACGGGCCATTTGTGCGGGCCGCCCACAGGCTRTGCCGTGCTGGCACGGCACGGCCCACTTTACACCTCTACTCATTATCATGCCTTGGTAAAATGCAAATGTTGGGACTTTATCCAAATCTATGAAACTAATATGATCACCATGTAATTATATTATAATACATTAAAAGGCAGCTATTCTTACCTCTTTGATACACTCAGGTCCATCAAAAGAAGGTTTACCCATTGCAGGAGTTACAGGATACCATACCTAAGAAAATTAAGTCGAAAAATTTATAAAGCAACAATTAGTTGTACAAGTTGTTACCAAGAAAAGGTAGTTATACAAGTGCTGAAAATTATTATAATATACAACACATTTGTCATTGCAGTGGCTACAAAAACACAACTGAAATCAAGATGGCATTCATAATTCCAACAAAATTCATACCAAATCAGGGTCTTCATATGGTTTAAGCACTGACTCAGATTTGGACGTTGAACCCTTTAGCCATGCATCAATTGACTCCTTATTACCCAAAATAACAGGCATCCTATCTGTAAAAGAACATGTAGATTATCTCCAAGTTCATACATGCATCAATTAAAAGTTAGCTGCACATCATGTAAACTGTGTCAAATACATTCCAAGCATAAAAATACTGTATGGTAAAAGAAGAGGACCAAGTCTACATTTAGGATTAATCTGAGCCTATTCAGGTAACTTGGAAGTTAGATTCTTGACCTGAGGAAGTTTGGACCTATTAAAACTCTTCTTCTCCGTTGCAATACTTTCATTAAAGACCAATATACTACAGTACCCAAAAAAACAAAGCTTTTGCAAAATATAACGATGAATTACACAAGTGATACCATCTCATATGAAGGTAAAGAGCTCAAACAATTTGTATTAAGTAACTAAGGTGACTAACCACATAAGTAACTAAGGTGACTATCAAAATAGTGAACCAGAGGCTGTTATTAGAGCTGGACACTGCTGACAGAAGAGATGAACTGGTATCAGAGCATCTGATTATAAATGGATTTAATTGTAAGAAAGAACCAGTTAGTTTTGAGTTTGGTAATGGAAAAAATCAATAATGAAACCAATCAGATCAGAACTGACAATTGTAACAAAGAACCATTCCAGCAACTCATAGAACTTCCAGGAATACCACAGTTTATTGTCAGAAAAAATAGATTCCAATCTGACCATAATGGTTACAAACATCACCAGAATATTCTGAAAGAACCTCCATAACCCTGAGGACCAAAATCCTAAAAGAGAAAATTAGCCCAAAAAGCACCACAAGTTTTAGAAGTAAAATATATCAAGGAGATGCTAATAGCTCTAAAACATCCATTTTGTGCTCTGGTCTGAGATCAGTTCTCAGATCAGATCATTCTGGTTTTAGGCCCTTACTGGTAATAATATATAATCTTTAAAACCAGCTAACCTTGCAGACTGGAGAAAGAAGCAAAGCAAAGAACGGAGGACAGCGCGCAGCTGAAGACAATGGATGATCAAATTTGGCAGCTAGAGGCACAGTTCCAGACGTATATGACAGTAAATCAAGAGAAATGGGATGCTAATGAAAAGAAGAGGGAAGAAATGGAGATGTTGAAGACGTTGACAGCCAACTAAAAGAAGGATGAAGAGAAAGGGGTTCCATTCGATAGCCACTCCACTTACCACAAAGGGCTCCTTCCCACACCTAGAAGCATTGAAGCAGGTAAGAACAGTTAGCAATGGAGGTACAATTGTCCCTTATTTAACCCTCATCTGCCTAAAATTGAACTTCCATCCTTCAACGGAACAAACCCAAGAAGCAGGATTCACAAATGCCAAAGTACATCCACATCTATCAGGTATCTGATGCCCAGAAATTAGAAATTGCCGCCATGCACCTTTAAGGCAAGGCTGATTCTTGGTATCAGGGCTATCAATTGAATAGAAGTATGGTGGCATTGAGAAGACTTCACAGATGGATTATGTAGGAGATTTGGAGACGGATTTTGAGGGTGTGGTAGAGGAATTCAATAAACCGCAGCAAACAACTACAATCAAAGAGTAGCAAGAAAGGTTTGGAGAATTGAGGTCCCTCATGCTTGATAAGAATCCAACTCTTACTGAACCTTACTTTGTCTCTAGTTTCATCAGTAGCCTAAAATAAGAATTAGGGCCAATGGCAAGGTTTTCTAAACCTTTTACCCTCTTACAAGCCTATGAACAAACCCAATTGCATGAACTATCCATAGAAGCATTACTCAAGAAGAGTAAACCTCCCTCTAGGCTCACTTTCCAACCCAATTCCAACTCTCCCAATTACAACCTCAAACACAACCCAATCAATCCTGTGAAACCCCCAAACTTTCCTTCCACAAACACCACCAAGCCCTTCCCAAATCAACCCATGAACCTCAATGCAAAAACAAGCAGCTGCACTCCTTAATGGCGAAAGAAGAAACCTCAAATGAACATTGTGGGGATACTGAAGAAGAAACAAAGGTGGAAGGACTAACATGGAAATCTCGGTACACGCTCTAGCAGGCAGCATTAGACAGCATTAGACATAACACTATTCAGATTAAGGGTCAAGTGCAAAGAAAGAAAGATATCCTGATCCTGATAGATAGTGAAAGCACCCATTGCTTCCTAGACCCAAGGGTAGTACAAGGAATTGACTGTACGGTGGAAGAGAAATCTCCCTTGTCAATCACAGTAGCTAATGGGCAGAAAATGGTGAGCAGGGCAAAGTGTATCAACTTTGTGTGGAATATGCAGGGACATCAATTTCAAACTAACTTGCGGATGTTGAGTTTGGGAGGGTGTGACATGGTCTTGGGAGTAGATTGGATGAAATCTTACAGCTCCACTGTGTTTGATCATTTGTGAAGGATGGCAAGACCATTGACCTCCAAGGTGCTACTGATACAGCTTCATTCCATGGTAATAACAGGAAGCGGATTCCTCTTAAACCCAACACAGAACCTATCAATTTGAGACCATATAGATGCCCTTACTTTCAGAAGGCAGATATTGAGAAACTGGTATATGAAATGTTACAATTCAGCATCATCCAACCCAGTCACAGCCCCTTTGCCACCTCTACTCTATTGGTTAAGAAAAAAGATGGTAGTTGGAGATTTTGTGTTGATTATAGACATTAAACTCTCCATAAAGGACAACTTCTCAATTCCCATTATCGATTATATCCTTCATGAATTTCGTGGTGCTGAAATATTCTCTAAGATCAAACTAAGGGCAGGTTATCACCAAACCAAAATGAAAGAAGATGATATTTGTAAGACTGCATTTAGAACTCACCATGGCCACTTTGAATTCAAAGTGATGCCATTTGGATTGACAAATGTACCAGCAACCTTCCAATCATTAAAGAATTACATTTTTACTCCATTCCTTCAAAAGTTTATTCTAGACATCTTTGATGATATCCTTATTTACAGTCCTACCCTGGACCTCCACATTAAACACCTTGAAAAAGCCTTCCCAGTCCTAAGAAAGCACCAATCGCATGCAAAAAAATCGAAATGTGCTTTCGGCCAAACTCAAATTGAGTATTTAGGTCATATAATCAATGATAAGGGAATCTCCATTGATCCCTCTAAGATTGAGGAAATGGTGACTTGACCACAACCAGATTCTATCAAAAGCATAGTTTCAAGGTACCAAGGCGAGGCTAGGCAACAAGGGAGCACCTTGTCGCTTAGGTGCCCGCCTAGGCAATGGATTTTTAAAGAAATAAACATATATCCTAGGGTCATAGATCCCTAGGTTCTATAACCATATTTCCTTATAATTATCCATAATTTTTATAAGAAAAGTATAAATTTCATGTTTTAAAGTATAGAAAAATCAGCATATCCATACGAAAATGAAAGAAAATAAAATTCAAAAAATATGGGGGTTGAACCTCTATTTTGTTATAGGAAAAGAAGAAGAAAATACAGCTTTTAGCAATATTTGTATGATTAAACCCTAACGAATAAGAAAATAATAAAACAAAATTAGGCATCGCCTTGACAACTATGATCGAAAGTGCAAGAGGATTCTTGGGGCTAACTAGCTACCACAGAAAACTCATTGCCAAATATGGTAGCATAGCTAAACCACTTCCAAAGACGTTAAAAAAAGATTGCTTTAAGTGGAGCATGGAGGCTACCCAATCCTTTCAACAACTAAAGATGGTAATGACACAAGATCCAGTACTGGCCTTGTTGAATTTCTCTAAACCATTAGTTGTCGAGATATATGCTAGTGAGAAAGGCATTGGAGCTGTACTAATGCAAGAAGGGAGACCAATAGCCTTCTTAAATAAGGCCTTGGGTCTGAAAAATATGGGGTTGTCCACTTATATGGCCATCTCCAAAATGGAGACATTACTTGCAACATGGGCATTTTGTGACCAAAACTGACCATGAAAGTCTCAAATGCTTGAGCAGGAAATCACCACCCATATCCAACAAAAGGCTATGAACAAACTACTAGGCCTTGACTATTCTATTCAGTACAAGAAAGGGAAAAAGAACACAGTAGTGGATGCACTCTCTAGAAGAACTGAGGCAACCGGCTCTTCTGCTGCTATAAGCCTATAACCACTATCATTCCCACTATGATGACTAAAGTTGCAGGGATAGTCCATGAACTTTGGCATAAGATACTCTTGGTAGATCCCTCTACCAAGAACTTTGGGATGACCGTGCACAGCTGTTAATTTCAGCTCTACTTGTAGATCCCTCTAGCACCGCTGATTATAGCTATGTGCAAGGAATCCTTATATGCAAAGGCAGAATTTTTATTGGCAACTCACAGGATCTTCGGCATAAGATACTCTTGGCCGTACACTCTTCAGCTATTAGTGGTCATTCCGGTATTTTTGCTACTTACCAACAAGCCAAGCAACTCTTCCATTGGCAAGGACTAAAAAGGGCAGTCCAAGAACTAGTCTTACAATGTGATGTATGTCAGAGAAACAAGTCTGTGAATGTGCCTTATCCTGGATTGCTTCAGCCCTTACCTGTTCCCACTCATTCTTGGAGACACATCAGCATGGATTTTGCAGTAGGTCTTCCCAAATCAGAAGGGAAGGACACCATTTTGGTGATCACTGATAGGCTCACCAAGTATGCTCATTTTATCCCCCTTTCACACCCCTATACAGCCATGCAAGCAGCAAAGGCCTTCCTTGACATTGTTTATAAACTACATGGCCTTCCTTCTAACATTCTGAGCGAGGGATAGTGTCTTCACTTACATATTTTGGAAGGAATTGTTCAAACTTTTGAGACCAAGCTGCACATGATCACCACCTACCATCCCCAGACAAATGGACAAACAGAAAGACTGAACCAATGCTTCAAAAATTACCTGAGATGTATGACATTTCACAAGCCTCAGTTATGGTGTAAATGGCTGACGTTAGCTAAATGGCAGTATAATACAGCCTTTCACACCACCATTGACATGACATCATTCCAAGCTCTATTTTTAGTTGTTGTAGATCCCAGGACTACGATGGTGGGTTCAGTGGAATCATTTCTACAAGAAAGGCAACACAAATTGCAACTCCTAAAAGAACAGCTCCTTAACGCTCAACAGAGAATGAAATTTTATGCTCAAGCACAGGGTGGAGAGGCCCTTTCAAGTGGGGCAGGTGGCCTACAAGCTAGAATTGCCACTGGAGTCTCAGATTCATCCAATGTTTCATGTGTCTCTTCTAGAAAGGAAGATTGGGTCGGGTGACTTCTGCTCCTACCCTTCCCTTAGTGGGTTCTAATGGCCAATTCAAGGTTGAACCTGTGAAAGTGTTTATTCGAAGGATGATTAAAAGAAATAATCAAGCAATAATTCAGTGTCTCATTCATTGGTCCAACTCCAATCTCACCCTGGACGAGACTACTTGGGAGGATGTCTCATTGATCACATCTCAGTTCCCTACCTTTAATCCTTGAGAACAAGGATTGTTGAATATGGGGGCAATTGCAACAAAATGGAGAAAAAAATATCTCCTCTTGACTGTAATAAAGTCTGCAATTAAATATGGTGGTGATTGCAACAAAACTGGCAAATCAAAAATTCATTCTAACATGCAAGGTGTCAACCAGCGAGTTGGTAAGGTCTCCTGCTGGTCGTAGCAGAGACTTGGGATCGAATCCYGCCTGCACCTAGGTTGGGGGTATGGAAAGTCTAAATATTCTCCGTTGAACTGAGTTTCTGATCATCTGACATTGACACCTAGATCAGCCTTATCCAAACACAAAGAGCTAAGTAAAGACCTTGAAACTTCAACTCCCAATCAAAAACTCAAAATAAGAAAAGAGATAAATGATGGAAAGTAGAAACCATATATGAACCGAGGAGTTTAGATATTCAGATCTTGGGACTGAACAAAATAATCCTTGAAAAGGAGCAAAGAAATCACATAAAACTCCCACCAGACTATGAAAAACTACCTTTGTTAATATAAAGAAACTGTCTCTCCAAAGAATTTCTCAAATACATAACATAAGTGACATTATCCAATGTTGGTCCAGACTACCCAGGGTTTTGGGAGAGGTGTATTCAATAGGGCTGTAAACGGGTCGGATTCGGATCAGATTCAGTTACATCCAAATCCAGTCTGAATTCCAAAATATCAGACTTGGACCAGATTCAGATAATCTGGTTCTACTCTATTATCATTAAAAATAAAGAAAAAATAAAAAGTAATTATTTTTAACTTGTACAAATATAAAATCAAAGGGTAAAATATAAAAACCTCCCTTCAAGTTTCATTTTAACAAAAACCTCTCCTGTAGTTTGAAAAAAATCCTGCAGTTACCTCCCTTCCATCATTGTCTCAGTTCATGATCAAGAAAAAAATGTTATTGTTTTTTTATTATTGTATCTATCAAAAAAGAAAAAATATTATTGTCTCCATAATAGAGTATACAAAGTTAAATTACTTTACTCTTTAATTTGACCACCTAGGGTATTTTTTTAGCTAAAAATTAAAAGTTTCTTTTTGGAGTACTTTAGTAAATCCCCATCTGAATTGATAGACATAAGGGTAAAATGCATATTTTCAAAAAATTAATGCATTAGGACAACGATTTCTGGCTGGGACAATACGATGGAAGGGAGGTAACTGCAGGATTTTTCAAAACTACAGGGGAGGTTTTTATATTTTACACAAAAATGAATACATATATATATATATATATAGAGAGAGAGAGAGAGAGAGAGAGAGAGAGAGAGAGAGATCAGGTTTTAACATCCAAACCCAGTAATCAGATCAGATGTTGGATCGGGTATCTGATTTTCAGAGTTCATTGACAGCCCTAGCATTTGAGTACCTAACCTTTGGTATTTTTACATAGACTAGCTACTCTCAGACATGAAACTGTCCTATCAAGCTTGTCAGCCTGAGATTTTACAATTTCACCAAGAAACGGTCCCATACACAAATCTTCGGGTGTGTCACAGCATTACAGCCCAATAGAATTAAAAGAAACATTAGAGAATTTAGAAATTAATGGTCAAGAATTTCAACCTCTTACAACTCTTCATACTAAAATTGAAACAACTTGTTTCAAAATACAGTATTGTAAATCCCAGGAACTCTTTTCCTTTCTTTACCCACCTCATTCACCTTAGTAGGACTTTTCTCCTTGCTGTCCTACATCAGCCCTAGATCAAGGTTGTCAATGGATCAGATAATAACCCAGATCCTATCCAAATTTAATTTGATTGAGCCAAATATGGATCTCAATTGATCCATTTACAATTAGACTAGATCCACCTCAAATACAAGATTAGATAAAAGCAAATGACATAAATATAAATACATAACAGTATATAGCATACATTCATTAGAAAGATTGTATTGAACAAATATATTTTTKAGCCAAAAGTTGCATCTTGAAAATTCAAATCTCATTTAATAATATTTCAATAATAACCAACTTTGATGACAATTAAGAATACTAAACAAAATGATTTACAAGCAACTATCAAAATAGTTTTAACAATATATTTGTAATTGCAAAAAAATGACAATTAACAAATTATACACCTGCAATTATCAAAATCAGTTGATAATGTACTTTTAAGCATGGACCAATCATTAAGAGAAAGCAATAAGGCATAAATTTAGTGTAGTATAATGGTACAATATAATCAATGAAAAAGAAATCTGTTGTTTGCTGAAACAGAGCTGTCGAATGAGAGGAGAAGAAGAAGAAGAAGAAGATATGAGATGGGCGGCAAAAAAATTTTCTCAGCCAGCCCTAATCTATTATATATAAGAACACTACATAATGTTACATAAATAGACCAGATTGCCCTTAATTAGGATGGGACACCAAGTCAAATAAACACTAAATAAGATTAGGCCCAGTAACTAAGGCCCAATAACTAATGACTTAAGACCCAATAAGGATAAACATACAAATTAAAACAGCCGAACCAACATCTGTGTTAAGACTTTAGAGTTTGTAAGTCAAGTTATTCTATAATAGGATGAAGACCCCAAGTAGAACGGATCATATTATCCATTAAACCATTCATAATGTGACAAGTAATAACTTATATGAGAGTAAACAAAACAAAATGTACTGACCATGAAGCCACTGCAAATTAGAGGAGGAACAAGTTGTCAGAATAGTAAATGTATAGAGCATCTCTCCTGCAGGGAATCATAACTGTTATGAATTACCATTGGAAGCAACTAAATTAGCCTTCCAAATAAAAAGACATCCCAAAAGAAAAAGCATCACCACCACTATCATCACTATCTAAATCTTGTCCCGACTATATGGGGTCCAAAAAATAAGAAAGATAAAAAACATAAAAGCAAAGAAAAAAGAAATGAAGCGGAACTGTCAAAGTAACTTGAATACCAGAAAAACTTCTTACAATAAAATCATGTTAGCTCTAGGACTTATTATGAATGTCCAATCACCTTCTGAGTTCCTCCAAGAATCATAAAGTGCAGCAATTACAAGAGGCTGGTCATTCTTAAAATGAATATAGTATGGCTGCTTCTTTGGCCCATCCTTCTTCCATTCATAGAATCTGTATAAATAGACTTAAACCTTAATATGGAAAGTACCATCCACCATGAAGAGAAAGCAAAAAAAGAGAAGGTTAAAAGAGGAATGCAGAACACAAATTTTGGACAAGAAATCTAAAATGGAATTCTATAGCAAGAAACTGTCCCAAGAAATCTCCACAGGGCAAAAGTCTTTGTACAAAAGAAACAGACTTTAGTAGAGCAAATACAGATACCAACTAATTTGGGTTGATTTCAGAAAAAAAGGAAATTAATAATAACTTGAATGGGAGGAATTTGATTAGTAGAGAATGGGTATTCTTTTGCCACGAATCAATGAGTATCAATGGTTTTATAATGATAGAATAAACTTTTTTCCAGGTGGCTTTGTTTCATAAATGTTAAACAATATGGATCTTAAAACCAGGGATATTTCTGTTCTGTTCTCTAAGAATTTCATAATTAAAAACAGTGAAACTAAAGAATTTTATATTATATTATGAAATTCAGAGAGGCAAAAGGACAAAAAACACCCCTGATATATCAACAATAAAATCCACTACTTACTAGGGATTACAGTTGCTAGGTCAAAACATGGGATATTGTGTCCAAATGCAAATATGTTAATGACCTATTAAAGAAACAATGAAGTTTTGGATTAAGCCGACAGATACCCCAATTAATAGAATCATAGAATAAATGTCACTTATGGGAAGGCACTTAAAGATGCTGGAGGATATCAAACGATAGCTGGCAAGTCGCACCCATGAATGATCAAATTTGATGTTTCATATGTAGTAACCATTGTTGGTCAATATACTCTTCACCCAGGAGTTGTCATTTGGCAACAGTGGAAAGGATTGTGACTTATCTTAAGAAACATACCAATAGCAATATATTATTTGCTAATCATGGTGACATGATACTGGAAGGCTGGAAGCTTTTATAGATGCAAACTAGGCTAGCACAATTAATAACGGGCATTCCACATCAAGCTTTTGTACTCTAGTTGGTGGAAACATTGTCTATTGGAAGAGTAAGAAGCGATCAGTTGTTTGTTCTAGTCCCAAAATTGAATAAAAAAACTATGACACATTGTGTATCAGAGGCATTATGGGTTAGATCCCTACTTGAAAAGCTCGAAATTGGGTTAGAGCAACTATTATTGTTATATTATGACAATCAAACTGCAACTAACATAGCCATAACCATTTCCAGCATGACATAACCAAGCATTTGCATATTGAAGTTGACTAACACTTTATCAGAGAAAGGGTGACTTCTGGAGAAATTCGTTTACCTTATGTTATTTCCAATATGCAGCTGGCAGATGTTTTCACTAAAGGAATAGTAAAGTCTAAGCACTAAACTGGAAAYTAATCTAAGCAAATTGGGTACAAAGACTATTGAGAGTTTATTTTACAGCCTTAATTATTACTTGCTTATTGATTTATAGTTTTTTTTATCAAGTAGCCCAGAGAGAGGCACTAGGTGCAGACCCACCCTTAAAGTTGATACAACATCAAGAAACTAAGTAAGAAACAGAAAAGAGAGATTACGGAGCAGCCCAATAGAGAAGTTCCCTGTTTGCCCCTTCTTTAGCAAGACAATCAGCAAAACCATTTGCTGACCTACCCACCCATTGAATAATAATATTCATGTTTCTGTTTGCAATTTAAATTTTTTTAGTATGTCCCTGTAACTCCAAATGACCGAATCCAGGCTCATCAACCACCCCACAACCACTTAGAATCTCCTTCAATTAATAAACTCTCCACACCAAGTTGACTCGCAATCTGAACCCCTTGCAAAGCAGCTAGGAGTTCAGCCCTAACAGAGTCTCCAAAACCCACTGGACCCTAGGAGTTACCTCATTGCTGTCCTCATCTCTCAAAACCCCTCCTATGCCAAAAGATCCTAGGTTACTCTAATTGCTTCCATCAAAATTCAGCTTTACAACCCCTTCAGGGGGAAGAAACCAAGATATAGTGACCCTTTCCTTGGTAGAATGGCTGGAAGCAACAGCCAACCAACTCCTCCAGAAAACGTTAAAGGAGAAAGAATGAAAAGTATCAAGTGTTTTCAACCAATTTATTGCCCTTGTCATGGTTCAATCCTTAACTTCTAAGAGACTCCTTTCCTTTCCTTGAAAGATTCTAGAATTCCATGAGGAGCTGAGGAACAAAGGGAATTAAGGAAGGAACCGAAAAAAGAACCTATAGATAAGGGGGACCAAATCCTTCTATCTAGCTTAAGGGGATACAAACAGACATTGTCAAACAAAAGTAACAATTCCAAAACACAAGCAAGCTTGTCCTCCCTAAAACCTCCTCTAAAACCAAAATCCCAATTTAAAGCCAAAGGGAGGACAGGAAAGGGAAGAAATTTTGAAATAACTTCTTTCTTATACAAGGAGTGGAGTAGAGAGAGGGAAACAAATCTTTGAGGGTTGAATTGCCCACACAAATATCTTCCTAAAACTGTACTAAAAGTCCCAAACAAACGTCATACCTGATACAGGCCAGGAATTGAGGAAGTACCACAGGTTGCTTTCTAAGGAGTTGCCAACGTAGGTCGACAAGATACACCAGCATCCCAGCCATTTCCTCACACCCATGAATACTAACCATCACCATAGTTGTCAAGGCGATGCCTAGGCATCGCCTAGGCGACTAGGCGATTTTCCATGGTCGCCTCACCCAAACGCCCTGGATTTTGTATACTAGGTGCCCGCCCATAGACTTAAGCAGGCACCTAGGCGACTAGGCGGGCACCTACATACTACATCTAATAATTTTTTTTTTTAATTTATTGTTTTGTTATTTTATTAGATGTTTTATTCTTTTAAAATAAAACCAGTTACATGCTATCATTTTATTATCAAGACAACAACACAAAGCCTTTTTCTTTTGTTTATGCATAACATAAGGGTTTTTTCAGTTCGATTGGAAAGGGAGGAGAACCAAAGACTTCATGCCCCAGCCCAACTCCATTGCACCTCAGCTTCAGCAGGTAAGTTCTGTCATTTTTTTCTCTTTTTCAAAAAAACAGGGGCTCCACCCCTATACTCCTGCCTTCCTCCACAGCTCCACTCATTCTTCTTCTTCTTCTTCTTCTTCCACCCCTGATTGTTCTCAGTCGCTAGTCCTAATCTCAGTCCCTTTTTTAAAAAAAAAAAAAACAGGGGCTCCGCCCCTGACTGTTCTCAGTCGATAGTCTCAGTCCCTTTTTTATTTTTTTGGAAAAAACAGGGGCCTATACTCCTCCTTGCCCCTAATCCCCTATACTTCTTCTTCTTCCGCCCCTATATTCCTCTCATCCCTTCCTAGATCCTGCACTTTTTTTTTCAGTTAATAGTTCGTGTACATGCTTGCTAGTTAGTGTATAGTTAGTGTACATGCTTGCTAGTTATATGAAATTTATACTCATTTGAATGATTTATAGAGTTAATAGTTAGTGTACATGCTTGCTAGTTAGTGTACATGCTAGCTAGTTATATGAAATTTATACTCATTTGAATGATTTATAGAGTTAATAGTTAGTGTACATGCTTGCTAGTTAGCACACAAAACCAATAAAATAGCTTAGAAAATCATAGATGAAGTAAAAACTCAAGAAAATTAACATTTTAAAATTCCAACGCCTAGGCACCTGGGTGCCCTGTGGTCGCCTAGCCTCGCCTTGGAGCCTTGAAAACTATGACCATCACCTCATGCCATAATCTACCTCTCTCCAGCGGCCACCTCCACAACCACTTACCCAACAAAGCCAAATTCTGAAGATTTCCTAAGCCCAACTCACCCTCCTCTTTAATCCAACAAATAATGCCCCACCTAACTAAATGGATTTTCTTCTCTTCCCCTACCTCCTAAGTCAAGTCTTCCATTAGCTTCTCTAATTTCTTAGCCTCTCTAGCAAGGATCCTAAAGATAGAGAGGAAATAAACCAATAAATTTGTTGGTGTGGCTCTAATCAAGGTAACCCTACCTCCCAAGGATAAGTAATTCTTTTTCCAAATTGATAATCATTTTTCAAACTTCTCCAAAATCGGTGTCCAATAGCAACTCTCCTTGGGATTTGCACCTAAGAGGAGGCCTAGGTAGGACATAGGTCAAGAAGAGATAGGATGGGACAATCTAATCATTCTACAATAGAACCAATGGTCTGGTCGTACAAGCTAATGCCAACCACACACCTCTTATGCATATTGAATTTCAGGTTGTAAATACTTTCAACATATTCCAATAGAATTTTGAGATTCCTCACCTTCCCTAAGTCACTTCACAAAAGATTATAATATCATCAACAAATTGGAGATGAGAGACTATAGCTTTATTCATACCTATTCTCCAACCACTAATTGCCACATACCTATCAGCTTTTGAGATCAATTTGCTAAACACATCAGCTACAAGGGTGAAGAGGAAAGGTGAAATAGGGTCACTTTGTCTCCAACCTTTGCAAACTAGGAAAAAATACTTTACCACCCCATTAACTAGCACTAAGTAACGACACAAACTTATACAACCAATCACCTAGTTACACCATCTTTCTCCAAAACCACAACTCCTGAGCACTTCTAAAAGAAAATGTCAATCCACTAAATCATAAGCCTTTTCTAAATCTAGTTTACGCACAAAACCATTTCAACTAGATCTCCTCATATTCTCCACACACTCTCCCTTTTTTTGATAATTGAAGAGGAACTTTACTAAGAAAATATGAGAACTGTTACAAGCATCCCACTGAGAGGTGCAAGGTGCGATCTCCCTTAAAAATGTGAAAACCACATAGCACTATAGATAAAGATTACAAGGTAGCCCAGTACAAATGTTCCCTCAAAACCCCTTTAGCACGACAATCTTCCATAGCATTTGCAAACCTGCCAACCCAATGTACGCTTAGATTCATATTTCTTGATAACCAATTGACCTTCTTCGAGAGATTCTTGTAGCACACAATGACCGAGTTCGAATCTGTTAACCAACCCACAACAATGTTGGAGTCTCCTTCAATTTGAAGG